AGACGTTTCATCCTTCATCCAAAGGACTTCTTCAATCTGAGGAGCCATCAACTAGGCCTGTCACGATAACAAATTTTGCTGGATGATTAATTGTCTCAGAAATTATTGCAGTAAATGATAATATTGTTTGAAATTTGACAATAATTGGTAACTATTGTTAAATTTAGGAAGAAATGTTTGGTTAATTTGTTTGACATGCAGTACCTTGTTTGACCGCTGGATGGCAGTATAAGACTGTTTGAACCAAAAGATGGATAGTGAGGATGCGAGCAGCGTGTCTCTTTAAGAAAAATGGGAGGGAGGCCCCTTGACGTGACATGGGCTGTGTCTTCTTCCTTTTGTTCGATTCTGAAAAATGACGGACGCTCGGTGTGGTTTGAGCTCTTAGCATAGCATTTTTCACACAAAGTTTTTAAGAAAAAATCAGTAAAGAAGTTCTCAGCTTCTTTTTGCAGAGGAAATCAACTTTTTACATGAAGGCACTGGTTTCAATCATTTCGACAACATAGAGAGGTTTTTTTCCGAGGTCGGCCTGTTAGGTTAGCTCGTAGCTTAGCTTCTCAGCGTAGCTGCTTATAACGATCCAAAAACGTGATTTTGGATCGTTAAAATGGATTTTAAAGAGCAAAGAGTAAGGGAGGGGTCAGTGAAGAGCACCGGAGTTGAGCCTTTTGTCATCCAGTGTCTTCAGTAGAAAGAGAGACACGAAGAAACGAAAAAGCCGATAAATTAAAATTATCCACCTCATTTTAATTTATCGTGAGATTAATTGATTTATTGTTTATCACGACAGGCCTATTACCAACAAACTGAGTCCCACAAACAGCATATACATGTTTTTTCCATAGTGGGAAAAAAAAAAACAGTTGCTGGTGATAAGATGGCCTCTGGGCTGTTTTGAACCACTTAACAGTGGTTAAGCAACAATTACCTGCAACTGAACTCCGATAAAACTGAAACTCTGATTATTGCACCAGAAAATAAGGTTTGTCTAATTGAACTGTCTTAGAGTCCAGCTAAGAAACCTGGGTGTCACTTTTGACTCTGCAGTGTCTTTGAAACAACACGCAAAACAACTGACTAGGAACTGCTATTTCCATCTTCTCTAAATTTAATAATTTTCTGTCAAAAGCTGAACTTGAAACGGTCATTCATGCATTTCTTTCTTCTCGCTTGGACTACTGTAACAGCCTATTCACATGTTTAAACAAGAAGGAGCTGGACCATCTTAAGGTTGTTCAGAATTAGTTAACATAAACAAACGAGCACACATCACACCCGTTTTAGCTTCCCTTCACTGGCTCCCAGTTTGTTTTCAGAATAAACTTCAAAATGCTGGTTCTAACTTTTAGAGCCTCGCATGAGCAAGCTCCCTCGTACATCTCAGGCTTGATCCAGCTTCACAGAGGTCGTTCAGGTTGATCACAGGGTGGTACCACGTACACAATTTAAATCCCGAGGAGATCGATCTTTCCCATCAGTTGCACCGCGGCTCCCAGTCTTTACACAGCCTTGATTCTATAGATGCTTTTAACAAACATTTGAAGATTTTACTTTATAAACAGGCTTTAAGTTAATAGCTACCTGTTTTCTACTTGCACTTTCATATGAATGTAATGTTCTTTGTGATGTTTTTGTTTATTTTATTCAATTTTTAGTTAATTTGTTTCCTGTCTTATTGTGAAGCACTTTGTGATTTGTATCTATAAAAAGTGCTATATTTAAACATTACTTACTTACACTTTGGAATGGCTGCCTCAGAGGAGTTGACGGGGTAGAGGGCAGGCCCTGGAGGCCATCTTATCACCAGCAAACGGTTATTTTCCACTATAGAGTATTCTGTTTGTGGGACTCAGTTTGTTGGTGGCTCCTCAGATTGAAGAAGACCCTAGGATGAAGGATGAAACGTCTCAGCAACAAAAGAAACCATCCAGATGACCTGACTGAACTTTGTTGGATTTACCTGGATTATTGAGCATGAACTTTGACCATTAGATAATTCACATGCATTTTATGAGCTTCAGCTGTCTGTACACTGCTGTGCTTAAATGTGACAGAAATATAATGAAATCTTTACCATTTAAATTGTAAAGATGTTTAAATCTTTTTTTTTTTTGCAAACTTTTTTAAAAACGATAAAGGATATCTTGGCAACAATGCCTGTGTTTTAGATCTTAAATTGTTATAGTTTTAAATTATTATTTATTACAATTATTGCCATTTACTGTTATACTGTATGTTTTATAATTTTTATACGTTTCTGAAGTCTTCATCTAATCTTGCAACTTGTTTTGTTTTTTATGACGTGTGCTGCTGCTGCCTGCTCTTAGTCAGGTCACCCTTGTGAAAGAGGTCTTGTTCTCAATGGGTTTTTATCTGGTTAAATAAAGGTTTAATTAAAAATATATATATTTAATCAATTTATATGTCATATAAGAAGTTAATTGTGGTTCAGTTTCCTCATTCGGATTTAAACCATAAAGCTCAGACTCGTAAAATAAAACGTGTTTAAATAGCCCTTAGTTCGAAAAAGCAAACGGTCATTTTTTGGTGTATTAGGTGAGATTTCATACTTTGTAGTTTCATATTGTGGACTGACAAGGTGTGTATGAGGGTAAGCACATTCTCACTGAATGTCAAAGTTGTGTGTGGATTTACTTACAGACCATGTAACTGTTGTCACATCCTTTTGGTGCTTATGCACTGTTCATACACAGAGCCCCTTCAGGTTAAACTCACCTTTTTACAACAAGGGTAACAGGCTGATATGCATATTTCTGTTCTGCACTGTCAATGTGCTCAACCAACAAAAAGGTTTCATTTACAAATCCAAAGGCTCAGCTCGACTGAGAAGAATTTCTTTTCATTTCCATAATGACTGGGTTATTACAGAGAAGAGCACTGGGCTTTTTAAACAATAGATGCTGTTTTGTGGACAAGCCGTTGTCCTGGACCCAGTGTTTAATCAGGTAAAGCTGCATGCAGTACAAAAGCATGGCGGCAGGAGGATCATGTTTATTATGTATCTGCAGAATATGGAAACACACTGAACTCCAACACTTTCAAAATGGGTGTGCAGGAGTACAAGATTGTGAGATTATCAGGGAATTAAAAAAAATTCTGTTCCATGCAAACATTTCTTTAAATTTTTGGATTACACTGTATTTATGTTTCTTTTGGTTTTCTTCTCTTTTTATTGTTTGTTTAGGAAACCAACATTGCTCCATTCACAGCCTCCTCCCATGAGGTTCATGTGGTTTTCCAAGCCCAGTACTCCATCTTGCCGTCAGGATTCAGAATCACCTGGAGGAGCTGATAGAACACTGTTTTTTTGACGCACGGTCACATAATGTGCACACACACACGTGTGGAGTTGTTTTAAACACTTTGATATTTTAAATCACCTTTAAAGTAAATTATTTTAAGTTAGTGGTTCTGTCTGTTTGCCTTAAACCATCTTATTGAAAAAAGTTCATATGATGTTAAAATTAATAAAATATTTATGAAGTGCAGCAGTGTGGTATGTGAATTATCTGGCTTTGATTTATTTGAGATGTTTGTGAGAAAAACAAACATGTTTAAACATTTTTTAACAAAAAAAGTTATTTATTATTTATTATATTTATTTAATGGTCAAAACAGCTTCCTTTTGCCTGGGTGTCATCCATCCATCCATCCATCCATCCATCCATCGCAGCTGGAGCCGCTAGCTCTCCAGCGTTCCTCCGCCTACACCAGCTGAGCGAAGCAAACGTTCATAGGAGGACTCGCTGTTGCAGTTCTTCAAAAATTTAAAGCATCAGTCAAAAATTGCATTATAAATATGGAAATAAAAAACATATATAAGTCGCTTTGGCGTACAAGCCGCAGGACTGACAAATCTATGCAAAAAACTGTGACGTATATGCAGGAAAATACAATACTTTCTATAGAAGAAAAGACAAAAAATGTTACTGTAGAAATAATAACAAATACCAAACAGGTTGAGCAGAGTAAATAAAGACAGTTGCAGAGTGAAAAGTGTGGTCAGTTTGTCCTCCAGCAGTCTATAGTCTATAGCAGCATAACTAAAGGACAGCTCAGGAAACCCAAGTCAACCCTAACTATATGATTTATCAAAAAGGAAAGTCTTAATCCCAGTCTTAAAACTGGACAATGTGTCAGCCTCATGGACAGAAACTGGAAGTTGGTTCAACAAGAGAGGAGCCTGAGAACTGAAAGATCTGCCTCCCATTCTGCTTTTAGAAACTCTAGGAACCTAAATTAAACCTGCAGATTGAGAGTGAAGTGCTCTGTTAGGAAAATATGGAACAATAAGATCTGTAATGGATGATGGAGCAGCACAGTGGCTCAGTTGGTAGAGCTGCTGCCTCTCAGGGAGCAGGTTACCCTGGTTCAAATCTCCCTTTCTGGGTGGAGTTTGCATGTTCTCTCTGTGCATTTGTGGGTTTTCTTCGGCTACTCCAGTTTCCTCCCACAGAACAAAAACATGCATATTAGGCTGATTGGTAACTCTAAATTGTCTCTAGGTGTGAGAGAGAGTGCGAATGGTTGTTTGTCTCTGTGTGTCCTTGTGATGGACTGGAGACCTGTCCAGGGTGTCCTCCGCCTCTCACACAGTGATGGCTGGACATGGGCACCAGTGATCCCCGTGACCCAAAAAGGAAGAAGCGGGTAAAAGAAAATGGATGGATGGAGGATGGAGCTAGGTTGTTGAGAGCTTTTTAGTTTAGAAGTAAGATTTTGAATTCTATTCTGGATTTGACAGGGAGCCAATGGAGAGAAACTAAAACTGGAGAGATATGATCTCTCCCACTAACTCCAGTTAAGACTCTGGCAGCAGCATTTTGGATCAACTGAAGACGTTTTAAAGAAGTATTTGAACACCCAGATAATAAACCATTGCCAATAGTCTAGTCTAGATGTGACAAATGCATGGACCAGTTTTTCTGCATCATTTTTAGATCAGATGTTTCTAATGTGAGTGATATTACGCAGGTGGAAGAAGGAGGTTCTATTAACGATTTTAATGTGGACATGTCCTGATCAAAAATAACACCAAGATTTTTAACATTAGAGCTGGAGGACAGATTAATGCCTTGGAGAAAAACTGAAAAATTCATTCCTAAGATGTTTAAGTCCAAAAACTAAAACCTGAGTGTAGTCTATGTTCAAAAACAGAAAATTTAGGGTAATTCAGATTTTTATGTCTTTAAGACATGCTTGTAGTCTAAGTAGCTGATTGGATTCATTGGGTTTCATGTGTAGTGAACTAAGCCTCAGGTCAAATCCTGACCCTGAGGGCCTTCCTGGGACAAGAACTGTATTTCATTGATTTGAGTCCAGAAACACAAAATCAAGTCCATCCAGAGACTTTCTAAGTGTGTCCTGCACTGATCAATTGAAAGAACACTCTCTTTTTATTATCATTACTATTCTACAAATGTCTTGATAATCAAAGTGTGTTTAGTTCAAACCATTTTAAATGTTGAAGTGAACTACTCATTTTAAATCAACTGTGAAACAGTATAAATGATTTTCAATCCTCATTCAAAGTAGAAATCTAGTTAAATGTCTGTTACAGAGTAATTATTCATTTTCTTGATCTTCTGTCTGAAATGAGCAGGTTGTAAGTCGGTCAAAAGTCGGAGACAAACGCAAACAAGTTTGTTGGAACGAACTGTCATGTTTTTAAATCCTCTCAGACGTAAATAGAGAAGCTGGCACCTGTTTCCTCCCA